AAACAAAAATATCAAAATGGAAGAACATTTAAAAATAATCTCTATGATACAAGTATACAAACAAAACATATAAATGCAATTGAACATAAAGGTATATGCGAACATTGTAAATCAGTACTTGAATGGAGAGTACATTATAGAAAATATAAACCATTAACACAAGCGAAAAAATGGTAAGAATTCATTGATTTTTCTTTTTATCGAATAAGATTTAAACAAATAGATATGATCGATAAATAAGAAGGAGATTGATAATGTTAATGTCGAGATAAAAGTTAATAAATATAAAAGAATTACATTAAAATAAATGTATGTACATATAGAAGATAGAGTAAAGATGATGGGTGCTATGGTCACGCCTCATTCCTTAGACCATGATAAATGCCTTGACAATGCTTTACTATTGACCGTGACTAACATAGCTTCAAAGGTGAAATCTATTGTGTACGTTCATGAACTAATAGAACAGGTACTGGAACAAGGTAACAATTTATGCCTTGTTCCAATGATCTTTCTAGGATAGGTCTCATACGGTTACTCAGATTTCACAATTTCATCTCTGATTAGAATGCGATAGAAGTATACTAACTAGTTTTGGATGATCAATTAAAGAGAGTACAGTATAAATCTAACTAAAATAAGCTATTCGTTCCCGACGTAATGAATATTTTTTTTGAAAATCGAGCTATGTATTACTTCATGTATTTCCAATTGTTCAATAGCATGTTTCATATATTCGTTCTTCTCTGTTTTAGTGTTCGTTGTCTTCAAAAAAACATCATTCGTGCTTATTATGTTCTTTGTGATGATTGTGGTGCAAAAGAAAATCTTTGTTGCAAATGTGGTGAAAGTCAAGATACAACTATTGAGTAAAATAAGGATATTTTGATCTATAATATAGCTATGATAATATTTTTGAATTTTAGACGACCTGTTCCAGCTGTTGAAGAAGAGCGTGAACAAGCTGAATTTGAAACTGATATTAAATTTCTTCGAGAAAGACAAAGACGTATGTTTATTAAAAGATTTCAATCATTAAAATGTTCTCATATTATTATTATTTTTAATCTAAAGGTAAATTCAATCGTTTAGTGAAACAAGGAATGTCAGGTGAAGAAGCTTTAGCACAACTTAATGTTCCTTCAAATAAAAAATCGAATGCAGGCGGAGAAGATGACGATGATGATGATGATGATGAGAACTATGAAGATGACGATTCCGATTTTGATGATGACGACGATGAAGAAGAAGAAGAATAAAATTGAATTTCAAAAAAACATTTGTTTTTTGTTATTATTTTGCTTGTTTAAGAAATAAACAGATCATCAAATAACGAATTAAAATATTGTATATATATCGACCATAGTGAATGCGTAAGTAATGAAGGTTCTTTTTCACGTAATAATGGTAAATAATCAAGAATTATTTGTACATTTTCTTCTTGATATCGATAAAGACAATCGAGTGTTAATGGTCGATATGATTTTATTGGTATCATTGAATCAAATTGTTTTTTAGATGTTTTAACATTTGATGATAATTGTTTAATAACAAATTCATGTGTTTCAAGTATTGTTTGACTTAAATTGGTTTTTAATGAACTAAGATAATGTAAAAACTTTGATTGAAATTCAATAAGATACATTAAATGATAAAGATATAATGATGATTTTGGTAAAAGATAAACAGAAAATTTTTTTAAATCTAAATATGTTATTTTCATTGTTAAGAAATGTAATGATATATTATCATTATAAAAATTATAATTTGAATTAAAATAATGAGGAAAAGATTTTCTTTGATAACAATTAGAAAGAAAATCAATAAAATCATGTATATAATTAAGTAAATCACTGGTTAAAAATGTTTCAATTGAATATTGTTCGAAGAAATAGAAGAGTGTATGTTTAAATATATTAAATGATAATTGTCCGTGTGTTTTAGCATGTAAATAATTCCATACAATTGATGCAAAACGTATATGTTCATCAGACATAGCAAGAATAAGTTGATTTTCAATTGCGGCATATGTATAAGACCAACTTGAATTTATTAATGGTGAAAGTAATTTATCACATGTATAACATTTATCCGTTGTTGATATTTCATTTTGTGTACCGATAAATCGAATAAAACAAGTATTTGTAAATAAATTTTCGTTATTTAGTGGCCATAAACGATGTCTTTGTTCGAATGTCGAACGAATTTCTTCTGGCCATGATTGAATACGTAATACAAAATAAAATTTCGTATGATCAACATCAAGATCATATGAATACGTTAATTTTGAATTATTAATTATTGTTTGTTGAATATAATGAGAATTTACTTGAGATACATAACCAAAAATATTATTATTATTATTGATTTCATTGAAATATGTTTGTACGAAATTATATGTTATATTAGCATATAAAAATGGATGTAAATATTGATTTAATTTTGCACCAGAAAATATCGATAAGCAATGATCACATGAAGAAAAGTTTCGTAATGCATCTTTCGTAGCACATGTTACTGATTGAAATTCATTCCATCGTGCATATTTAGTTATATATACAAATTTTTGATCATTATCGAAAATCAATGGTGGTTTATCAAATTTATTAATATCACTATAAAAAAATATAGAAATGTAAACAAATTATGAAGCAAAATCAATCTTACTTTAATTGTACACATTCAAATTGTTTATGTTCGATTAATTGAGATTTTGTTCGTCGATGAATTCGAATAAATTGTTGTTGTGCAAGATCATCAATAATTGAACTTAGTGTTAGACACTTATGTGAAACAATATTTTGATGAAATTCATTGAGAAATAAATTATTTTTACAACGAGATATTGATATTGGTAATATTGGTGAAAATATTTCATTCGAAGATTGATTATCAATATAGATTTGTTCTGTATAAGGTAAAGATAATATTTTCGTACAATTGATTAATTGATTAGATGAAAGAATAGGATGAGTATCATCTGATGAAGTCGATGATGAAATAATAAGCTGATCTTGAGAAGAAAATGGTGTTGTATTATAAGACAGTGAAGAAAATGTCGAATCAATAAGTGATGGTGAAGGTGATGAAACAATTGAATCTTTAATAAAATAAACAAAAAAAATTAATTCTCCGAAATATTATTATTTATATTACCGGGTAATAATTCTTCAGTAAAATTTGGTACTTCTTGATCATCATTTATTTCAATTTCATTATTTACTAAAGCTTTCATTGTTACATCTTGATCTTCTGTAATCAATACCATTGAATCTGTAACATCTTTCTCACTAAAATCTATTGTGATTTCGTCCGTTTGATATTCATTACATTCATTTGGTAATTCAATAGGCAATGATGTTTCTGATGTATGTATAAATATAAATTGTTCATCGCTATCTGTTGTTGATAAGGATATAGGAGATTGAATAACTTTTTCTTCATTATCATTAAATAAAGTTTTCGATTCTACTACATCAGGTAAATGTGAAATACGAATACGAGTTTGTTTCGACGACGTCGATGATAATAATCGAGTTCGTCTAATATTTGTTCGTCGTTTATCATATAATTTAGTAGTAGAAACAATAGAAGAAGTATACTTCTGATGTTTATTTTTTGCACCAGATTTTTTACCAATACAATTACCCATTGTATTTTACGCTTTCAACTAACTAAAAAAGAAAATAGACATGACATATTCGTTTTATATGAATGATGAAAATGGAAGCCATAACATAGAAACACGATTCATAACGATATATTTAAGATTTCGAGTGTGTCGCGTTCATATACATACGAAAATTATGGTCTTTTTTTTCTCCCTCTCTCTCGCTTTGTCTTTTATTTGAACTAACAGAGTATTATAATATATGTTTGTTCATTGTTCTTTATCCCTCTTCACCTATCAATATTACTCTGTACTACTTATTGTTATTCTTTATGAGCTGAATATTCATCAAAAAGAGAATTCCTATTCATGCATGTTCATATAAATGAACTCTCTCTCTCTTTTATCTTGCCTCCTTTTATTTGTCACCGAAACGTCATATAAATATCAATGATAGTTCGATTAAATACAAATATGTTATTGTAGTAATTATGATTTAATAACTTTTGGTCAAGGGAAAAAAAGCAGTTTTTTTCTATAATAAATAATTAATATCAATTTGTCAAGACAGATGAAAATATCTACTAACATATCGGACTAGAAACTAATTTATTCATATTGACACGACGGAGAAGAAAAAAAAGAAATCATACAATCAATATTATTATTCGATATATCGGACAATAGTTTAATTTTCATGCTGTGAATAAAGAAATTTTTTATTCTGTATACATACTATTATGTAGAGAAACAAATCGAATGGTCACAAACCCCTTTTTTTTTGGTCTTCTTTATGATACCAATCATTATTACGTCAAAGAAATACAAATAAACTTATGAGGATACATACTTCTATA